TGGCATCACTAAGTTGTTTTATTCTTATTTCAGAAAAACAAGCATTCCTTTCACCTGCCCTTTAAAAGTCCAAACATCAAATTTCAGAGCTTTCCTTTTTTTTTTATTTTTGTTTTATTTGTTTTGCAGAACTGGGGACCGATCCCAGGGTCCCTGCACTGAGCTACATCCCCAGCCTTTATAAAATTTTTATTTGGCAACAGGGTCTAGCTAAATTGCCTTCAAGTGTGTTTTGTTTTAAAGACTTTTCCAAATGACGCAGGTGACATCATTTTGAACAGGAACTAGAAAAGCTGTGCGGGACCGAGGAACGTAGGACCTTTCTTCCGAAGGGCTCACCTCTCTCTCTCTCTCATAGTCTTCTTTGTCATAGTTTTCCTCCTCAGTCTGGGTCTGCAGCGCCACACTGCCGAAGTCCAGGGACATGGTCCTCCTGCGGGGCGAGAGGATGACTGGCTTTGGACTGCCCAGGAAGCCTCCCTGGGAGAAACTACAAAAGGAAACAAAAGAAACAGGCTGGCAGAAAGGCTGCTTAACCAACTCACACCTGACCAGCAGGATTCTAAGGAGAGAGCTCTTACAATCGTGAGGCATAGAAACAGCTGCATAAACAGCAGCGCAGAAACCTTAAGTCGCAAATAGGTAATAAAACCATGGACAGCTTTTGCTAGTTTGGCAAGGTCTAACTTAAAACAGGTTTTTTTTTCACAGCAGATAATGAGACGGTGATACTAACCACGAACTAGAAAAATACCAAACATAGCACTCTTAAGAATAAATTCAAACAAATTTCCATGGTTTGTCTGAAACACGTAAGCTGGATATGCTGGCACAGGTCAGGAGGCTGAGCAGGAGCGTGGCTACAAGTGGGAGGCCACCTAAGCTACACAGTGAATTCAAGGCCTGCCTAAAGCGTACAGCAACCTTGTCTCAAAAAACCAAACAAAAAAGAAACATGGTTACTGGCACACGCAGTAAGCACTATACTTTGCTTCATTCTTTGAATGCCACGAATCCACACTTTATGCTTTACAAACAGAACTCCTGAATTGGAATTAATGCTTGCTCCCCAGAAAGCATTTGGGATCCAGTAAAAGCACACCGCACACAACAGAAACCTAAGCATCAAATGTCTGGCTCTTAAACTTGATTTAAAAAAAAAAAAAATCAGCTGGGTATAGTGACGCATGCCTGTGACGCCAGCACTCAGGATGGCCGTGAATTCATGCTTTTCGAATATGAAATGCTAAAACCATTGAAGACTATCAATATGAACATACTGAAAATGAACACCGCCCTAGTGTATATAGTTACTTCTGAATTACTGAGCAATACTCTATCACTAGTAAAAATCATGAAATTTTTCTGTATTTATTGATTCAGAGGGCCTGGCATTTGCAAGATTCAGAGTAGGTGGACACATGCTTTTTAAAAACATACAATTCTATTAAGATTTTTAAACTAATCTGGCATGGTAGCCCAAAATCTGGGCATTCTGGGAAGCTGAGACAAGAGAATGTTCAAGCCCGGCATGGGCAAAGAAGTGACTTAGCAAGACCTTGTCTCAAGAAAAAAATTAAAAGGACTGAAGATGCAGCTCCATGCAGAAGTGCTGGGTTCAATCCGCAGTTTAGCAAAAACAAAACCAAACTAGACCTCTGCTCCAGCCCGTTATCCACCATTGGTTTGGTTTGGTTTGGTTTCTCTCCTTGGAGCAAGAAGAAAACCAACAGATGTTTAGCTAAAGAAAAATTACAAGACTATAGCAAAAGTAGCACCGTTTTCAAATCACCTAATAAACCACAGGCACCCAAGAAGTGGCAGAATTAAAATGCTTCTGTCCCTTGTGCATGGGAAACGCATTCCAGTACCCACTGAGGGAATGTGGTGTGGCACCCATGTCATCACATAGGAATTATTATGGACTACTACCAAGTGCCGGATTATATCCTAGATGGATATAAGCTAGCATGCAGTACCAGCCAGTGTGCTCTTAGGGAGACAGCAACATACACTAATAGCTGCACTGACGCACTGTAAGAAATTCTGTACTACAGGAAAACCCAAAGCGCAGATTAACTCTGCCTAAGAAGAAAGGAAGGCTTGTGGAAGTTTCACAGAAGAGCCTTTAGATTACAAATTCATCTCAAAGGACACAGTATGGGGCTGGTGGCTTAAAAAAATAAGGGCACTCATTCTCACAACCTGGGCTACATTTCAGCGCTTGGGGTTACCAGCTGTTCAATCTTAAGCACCTGCTTCCATTTCTTCATCAGAGAAATGGGCACAAGCACAGTATCCACCTCTGTGGAGGAAACCTTACTTCCAACAACGCGACCTGTTCTGCGATGCAAATGTCTCCCTCTTCCCAATCCCGGTCCTGCAGGAAAACAGTCCCTCCTTGGCACGCTCAGGCTGTACTGCATATGCTTCTCCTACGGCTTCAGCTTCAATCTCTCTCACTCAGGTGAACGCAGTCCCCAACGAAGGGGTGCACACACAGCGTGCTCAGTAAGGTGTGCGGTGAAATGCAGTCTGAGTAAGACTCGAGCCCATAACTGCAAGACAGGAGGGAGGGTTAGTGCCCTGGAAGGCGGCACAGACATAGGGAACTCTGCTTATTTGCTGACACGCTGAGCGCCCGGCTAGCGTGGAAAGAGCACACCAGCTTGGTTCTGGCCCGCAGCACCTGAATGAGGAGGCCCATTGCTCCAGCCACTGAACAGCACGGCTCGGGGTCGGGAAGGACAAGGTGAAGCGTACAAAGCAGACGCCGAAACGGACGAAGACCACTTCTTGTGCTCCGTGCTGGCGACAGTGGCTGGGACAAAAGGACTCGAGATGGTCAGAGGGGACGGGTGGCCCAATAGGCGCCCACAGGCTGAACCAGTGCATGAGGTGCGGCCTTGCAGGAATGAACGCCTTGCCAAGGAGCCCGGGCTGGCGTCACCCAGGCCCCACACACGGGGCCAGGAGCCCTGAGCTCGGGAGCTGGCCTCGGCTGCCAGCGTCAACACACGTGCACAGAGCGCCACTGTGACCCAGAGCCCGAGAGGGTCTCCGGACGTCACTTCTGGCCGGGTGCTCGGACAGCCTAGGGGGCGCGGGACGCTTCAGTCCTGAGCGGAGCCGGGTCACCCCGGCGCGACCCGGGCGCGGGCGTCAGCCCTCCGGGAAGCCCTCGCCAAAATACTGCGGGCCCCGCGGCTCCCCCAACCTCGGCCCCGGGCCCAGTCGCGCAGCAAAACTCACCGGAGTCCACGCCGCTGTCACCGCGAGGAAGCTCTAGTCCCTGCAAGGAACAACTTCCAGCAAACTCGCAGGACTCTGAAACCAACCCCAAAGTATCTTCCTCGTCACAACCAAACCGTCGTAAGTTTTGAAGAGCAGCCGTTTCCTCCAGTCATCCGCTAGAAACTAGCCTAATGGGCGTGGTCTTGACAATTGGGGTGGGGCTATAAGGCGGAAGTCTCCGCCCCCACAAGCTTGGTTGAGAGATCAGCTTGCGGTTGCAAAGGTACTGCTGTTTGAAGCGGGCGCCAGAGGTGGCGGGAAGCTGTTGCTGCCCGCCCATTGGTGAATCCACGAGCCAATTACGAGAGGGCTGACTCTGGGTGGGTGGCGGGCTTATACGTTGCCTAGAGATGCGGGGCGCTTTGCCTGCTTTCTGCTTCAGTCACCGCTCTTTGCATTCTTGAGCAGAGCTGAAGCTCCCAGAATCATTTCCTCCGCAGAACTCTTCGTAGAGGTTTTCGCATTTACCCTTTGTTCTCTGAGACGCTACGTGCTCGTGTGCCTTGTCGCCTGGCTCCCCAGGCCGCTTGCTCGTTGCTTCGCTGTAGGGCGGCGCGAGAGGAAGGGAAGTCACAGGCCAGGCAGGGAGATTAAGGACCCCTAAGAGACCCCTCGGGGTCTCTTCCGCGGCAGCTCCATGAGTGGTGCTGCAGCGCTGCAGGGAAAGTCAGCACAGCTGAGATCTGTGGTTTTCTCCGACTTGTACCATGGGCCAGGGGGAGCAGATGAACCCTGTTTTACTCCGATTGCTCAGGTCCAAGTCTGAGTGACTAAAGCCAAGGTGTGCCAGGCACTCGGGGCTCTGTCCAAGGGAGACACGAGCCCTCTGAGCTCTCCCCACATTTTAACCTATTCTGTGTGTCTCTGTGTTTCCTCCTTAGCGCCCCCTGGTGCCCCCTGGTCAGGCACAAGCTCGCAGGCTGCCCCACCACCACCACCACCACCACCACCACCTGCTCAGTCTTCTAAGGAGCACACACAGCTCCTATGGAGTCTGCGATCCTCCCCACCTCTATCGGTCCTCTGTCCAGCGATGGGCAATGGGAAAAGAAGACTCAACCGCTTCCTAGTTACTGCACGTGCATTCACTGGTGGACAGAGTGTCTTTGAGGGGCTTCCTTACTCTGCTTTCAGCCATGTCGTACTTAGCCCGCTTCTTGTTCCCTGGAGGCACGCAAAGCAACTGTGGGAAATTGTGCTAAATGACGAAATGAACAAAGAAACAAACAAATGCAGACTACTGGGGCCAGAAAAAGCAAATGAAAAGCATTCACGTAAATGGCCTGTGTTGAACCAGAGCCAGAGGGTCTGCTAGCAAGATGCTGCTGTTGTCCCTCTGCAAAGTGTGGCCAAGGTTCTGTGCAGGGACAGTGAGAAATGCTGCAGCAAGAACCCTCGGTGACCCCATCTGGCCACGAACCACTGCTGCTCCGAAAGACAAAAGCTGGGAAGCGGGCAGGGTGTGTGCACTCTTCTGGGGCAGCACGATTTGCTAAGTGCTTTCACAAGCGCACTCTCACCCGGGTGCTCACAATCACTAACGCGACTCCAGTTTATGGTGGAAGGCACATCAGAAAGAAAGAAAAAAATTAACCAACTGCCCAAGGTGGTACAGTTAATACGAGGCAGAATTTGAACTCAGGCCCTTTACCTCCAGTATTTGTCAGCTACATGCGAAATAATTTAGACTACCACAGGACTGACAAAAGGCGAAGAATACAGAATAAATGTGTCCTGTGCTTCTATACATGGATCTGAGTGGAGCTACAAACCTGCTGTACTCAAGACACTTTTTGGCTGTCTGTCCTGTTATAAGTCCTGCCTTGATGCTTGACTAGGAAGTGTAAGGCAGAACCCCTACTTTGAAGGTACCAACACTCCGAGAACAAAATCCTTACAGAGAAAGTGTCTTAGTTATTTGTCTGGCTGCTAAGATACAATACCTGACACCCACAATGTAATAGGGGAAATGTTTATTTTGGCTCACAGCTCGTAGAGGTTTCAGTTTATAATCAGCTGGCTCCAAAGCAGGGTGGTGGGGCAGAGAGGAGAAACAGCCCATGGCAGGCCAGACGGGAAGCACAGAGCAGATCAGGGAGGAAAGAGACACACACTTCCGGGCATACTCTGTGGCCTCCTCCTCCGGCCAGGATTCAAGTGAACCGTGCATTTAGCTATGAAGGCCTCAGTGCACTAGTTCATTGACAAGCATGACACTGACCTGATCCAATCACCTCCCAATAGCCCCACCTAGGAGCACAAGGAGGCTTTGGGGGGACATCCAGATAGAAATCAGAACAGAAAAACAGTAACGAAAACGAAGTGATTTTGAAGTGCAAGTAAAGTAGGCACTAACTCAGAGGAAAATGAGTATCTGAGGGTTTATAAGCAAGGTTCAAGGAGGGAGGAGCACAGAGTGCTACAGGAAACTGACTGGCAAGCCTGAGTGTACCACAGTGGATCCCATACCTGGGGGCACAAGGGATTCCTGTACCTAGAGCTGAGGCCAGAGAAGCAGGCAGGGAAGGAGACAGTGCACAACACAGCATGGCGCCAGGAGGCACAGCAAAGGCATGAGAGAGCGCTGAGGGGTAGCGTGGTGTGGTCAAGGAAGCACTAGCAGACAGAGGCATTTTGGGGTGGTGAAAGAGAGGAAAAGTTACCAGAGATCTTGAAGTCTCCATAGATTAATTGGGGAATGTTACGTCCAAATCCACTTTGCATTTGTATTTTTAATGTGGACTGACTCAGCGCAGACTGTTGTGATCCCAAGGGAAAATGTCCGGGTGCTGATGAGACCTGAGCTCTCTCACAAGCAAGCACTGATACAGGTGGTGCCGAGTCACCACTGCTCCTGTATCCTACTTCCTCTTTGGTATCAAAGCCCTCAGGACAAAGCCATCTCACCTGGCGGACACCACCCAAAGCGTTGTCTTCAAGTAGCACTGTCCTCAGAGGCGCCTGAGAGCAAGAAGGTCAAGTTCAGGGCTCGGCTCCATCTCCTGGCTTCTGCCCACCAGGAGCCCTCAAAAGCCTGAAAGTCCT